ATGCGCCCCTCCGGACAATCTGCGACCATCGTTCGAAGACGAACGCCGCGACATACCAGAGATCAATGAACTTGAAGGTCAACCAGGAGACGCGTTACTTGCCATTCCGGAAGATGCCGGGCTAGACGCAGCCGTGGAGGAGTCTCGACCCGCTGTCCAGGGATAACATGGGTGACGAGGCTGAAGGTGATGTAATAATCCCCCAGAAGATCCAGAAGCATCACGGTCACCGCAAGTGATCGCGCGCCATTGCAGACATCTGCTAGATGATGTGCCTCACGGAGTACGTGGTCGTAGTGCGGTGATGCGTGCGAGACTCGCGGTAGGTGGATCAGCGCCAGCTTCTGAAAGGACACTCGGAGACGATCCGCCGGACTCAGTGCCAGAACCACGACCCGAGTCAGCGAGTCCGTTGCCCGAGGCATGGCATATGACTGGTACCACAGGTGAAGGTGTGGAACTACTGCGGAAGACAGCATCCATAGCTGTCAAGCCACACGACTCACCGATAACGAGACCCAGTCACGTCATCACGTCAGAAATTGAAGCGCGCAAAAAGCTTGGTCCATCATCTAGATTCGGTAGACGCCGAGAGCGGGTCACGACTCGCGAGGAAAGATGCATGGTGACATTGGAAATCGCGTAATGCCGCAGTGCCCATATAAACTATAGTCTACAGAATTTCCCGGGCGCAGGATATCGCGCGGACCCGACGCAATGGATTGAGATTGATAAGAACGAGCATCTTCGCAGAGCAGGCGGGCCACCGGTGGTGCCCCAACGCAAGACCAGACTCGACTCACGAGGAGATCTAGAGGAGCCGCATGGCATTCGCACAGATTCGCCGACATTTGAACCCGAAGGCTTAAGGTTGATAACGCCCTGGGCTGCAGAACGTTGAGGGGTTGGAAATGTGCCGACATTGCTTCTTCATTTGTCCAGGGGCAAGAACCCGCCCGTCTCATGCTGCTCAACGCACCAGAGGGCGGAGCGCAGATCGCCAGCATGGCCTTTTGACGGATACCGCGTTGCGGACAGAGGTTTGCGGGGGGAAGATTCGTCAACGTTTTTCAAGGCACATGGAGTGAGAGGAAACGCTTTCAAGGCACATGCAGATGATATTACTGTTGGCTGTGGGCAACGAGAGCCAACATATCATCGATTCGGGGGCCCCCGATCTCGTGGACTCGAAGTTGTCCGAGATACGGATCACACTGTTCATGTCAGCGCGAAGGATAGCATTGAGAAGGCCAAGGCCGCATCTCATCCCAGGGATAGCCCCTCACCAGGAAATGGAACGAAGGAGAGGTGTCCCAGGCCAGTCGTTGGTGCTTTATTACGGGTTACCCGCCAATGCAGTCCTGATTACAGTTTGTAGCGAAGCACGCAAAAAGTGGTCAAACCCAAAGAAGCGAATCGTGTTCTGGAAATTGCAGTCTTCAGCCACTGGGCTTGTGTTCAAGAGAAGGAGCAGTGACATGGGGCAAGAATGTGCTAGGTCTTACAGTTACCGTCGAAGTCTGGGCAGGAAGGTCCGACGGTGTCAAGGGTCAGCTTGGGCGGCTAAGACTTCGGAGGGCTTGGTTCAACGGTCTTGGTGGGCCCGCGTCGAGGGGAACCGTAATCACGTCGTTCGCCCTATACCTTTGTCGAGTAAGGCCATCAAACGCGCGCGCGTAAATCTACTTTTCAGGCGGAGACATTGGCTTTGTCTCCGGGGCGTAGCATCGGGCGCGAGCGTCCGCGCTGCCATCGCTGATGTTCGCGGCGTGATCGGCACCAGGCGCGAGCTTCCTTCAGGTTGGGAAGGCATTTCTTCCCATGGCGATGAGGCACCTGCGGATGACAGGCTGCAGAAGCGTGGAATAGTACTTGGATGCGCCAACGACAAAAAGTGGAAGACAAACGCTTGAGTATTGATCTTACTCCGTGGACAAGAGGAACTTGAAATCGTACAACCCAGATTGCGAAGGCCTTGCGGCCGGTGCCGCCGACCCTGAAAACGACGAAGATGGAAACGAGAGGGGGGGGGCAGGGGGAGGAGGACAACTGGAAGGTGGAGGAAGAATGGTGAAGGAGGTGGATGAGGGAGGAGGAAAGGGAAAAGGATGTGGAGGAGAAGCAAAAGGAGGAGAAGGAGGCAGAGAAGAGCAGGAGGAGGGAAAGCAGAGGGGGGGGGAGGAGGAGGAGGAGGAGGAGGAGGAGGAGGAAAAGGAAAAGGAGGAGGACGAGGACGAGGAGGATGAGGAGGAGGAGGAGGAAAAGGCCTGATGTTTTCTTGAGACAGTCTGGGGCTCTCTTGAGGCCGTCTTGGGCCGTCAGTGCTCCTCTTGCACTGTCTCGAGGCACACTCGGAGGCCTCCTGGGCAATTTGGGGCTCCCCTGGGCTGTCTTGGGGCAGTTTGGGAGCTCCTTGGGAGCCCTTTGGGGCTTCTTGGGGCTTCTTCGGGGCGTCTTGGGGGCCTTTTGGGGCTGAGAGCTCGAAGTGACCGTTCGGGTCCCGTCTGGGCACTCTCCCGGAGCCGTCTTGGGGGCCTCTTGGAGGCGTCTTGGGCCGTTTGGGGGCCCTCTCCGGCCATTGAGGGACCATCTTAGGGGTCTTTTGGGCAGTCTCGGGGCGATTTTGGGGGCCTCTTGGGCCGTGTTGGCGCGTCGGGAAGCGGAAGAGGCAAAAACGCCAAAATCTTTCACAAACGTATGGGATATTAATGAATTTTGCCTTTCGGGGCTCTCGTGGGAAAGCTCCTGTAGGCCTCTTGGGGCGCTTTGCACGCCTCTTGGGCCGTCTGGAGGTCGTCAAGGCGTCTTGGACAGATCGTTCGGCGATTCGGGGTTCTTTTGGACTGTCTCTGGGGCCTTTTAGGGCACTCTTGGCCCGTCTTGGCGCTCTTTTGCGTTCCGGGACTCCCAGGGGGGGCGTCGTATTTGACCCCGCCCGCCCGGGACCCCACCCCGGGACACCCCCCGGGACACCCCCTGGGGCCCCCCCCCCGGCGGGGGAGGGATCGAATGGAAGGGGTTTCCCTTCGACTCAATTGCGACACTGCTCAACTTCGCTTTGGCTGGCGCGCTGAGGTCCTTGGGAAAGGGGGGAGCTTCGATGGGCCCAAGGAAAGGGGGGAGGCAGGGACAGGGGACGACAGAGACGACGACCAACGAAAATCGGAGATAACGACTTGAACGGACAAGCTCCTCACACACGCCGACAGGGTCGGCGGATTTTTCTGTGACGAGATACGATGGGTCGGCACCAGCAGTCTGGCAGTATACTGCTCACAAAGGCTCTGCCCAGTGATGTCTTCATACACATATTACGCAATGGGCCGATGCGCGATGCGCCGCGCCCGGCCGGTCAGGTCGCGACAGTGTTGCACGGGTGCGACATAGTGTGTGTGTGTGTGTGTTTTTGTGCAGGACACGTGCGCGCGCCGCCCGCTGCCGTTTGACCCTCGAGGGTCCCCGTTCGCCAAGGCGCAAAAGACAAGAAAAAACACAATTGCTTTTAGAAGTAGCCGTTGAAGCAGCAACAGCAACAGTAGAAATAATCTATCAAAATAGTGGTGGTCGTGCATGACACGTACGTGTGCCACTCGCTGCGGCATGACCCTCAAGGGTTCTATCTTGCCAAGGCACAGCACGCATCATACATCACAATGGGCGTCGACCTAAACGATGACGACGATGACGCTGGTAGCGACGACGGACCACGTCGACGATAACGACGACGAACGTCGACGAAGGATGGACCACGAAACGACGACGACGACCGTCGACAATGACGACGACGACGACGGCGGCTGACGACGATAGAAGCCGACGACGACGAAGGGCTTTGACGACGACGATAAAGACGACGACGACAACTGGCGTCGACAACTCCGACTGACGACGACGACGACGTCGACGACGGACGACGACGACGACCCACGTCGACGGCGACGAAGATAACGGCGATGACGACGACGGACGGCGGACGACGACGACGACGACGGACAATGATTGACGATTGACGTCGACGACGACGATGACGCCGACGACGACGACGACGACGACGGACGTCGTCGGCGACGACGACGACGGACGTCGCCGACGACGATGGACCACCACTGACGGCGACGATAAAGACGACGACGACGATGGCAACGATGACGACGAAGGACGGACGGCGTCAATGTCGACGACGATGAGAAGAAGGCTCCTGGGTGACGAGGACGACGATGATGCGACGGCGAAAACGACGAAGACGATGACGGACGTTGACGACCACGACAACGACGACGACGGGACGACGACGGGACGATTATAACCACGACGACGACGACGATAGCGACGACGACGGACGACGATGATGACGATGGCGGGCCAGCCTCCGGCGTGTGGGCGGGACGTTGGCGAGGGGCGGGCTGGCTTTCAAGCAATATCGCCCCGTGTCTTTGGCGACCGCGCCTGCGCAGTCCCTCTCTCTCGCTCTCTGTTTTTTCTTTCTTGAAAAAAGAAAAACATGAAGCGGTCCGGGGAGTAGCGGTATCGATATTTTTGGGTTTCCCCGTTGGAGGTCCGTGCAGACCTCCTCTGGATCGACGCAGGGCCTTCGCTGTGCTCTGCGGCGTCCTGCTGTGCTGTCTGTCGGCGTCGGGCAGCGGGGGTCGGCCACAGCAGTTTCTGGACAGCGTTGTGGATCGATTCCCTTTCCTCTTACTTCTCGTGCTGTTTTCACTCTCGCGCCCACCGTTTGGCCAGTCACGACTTCGTAACGCGCTCCAAAACGCTGTCTGGGGCAATCGGCCGGACCGCTCTCGATGCAAAGCGCCTCAGGGCGAGCACGAGACGCGCACGCAGAGCGCTGTTATGGCCGACCCGTGCCGAGGGGACTAGGAGAAGGAGGAGGAGGAGGAGGAGGAGGAGGAGGAGGAGGAGGAGGAGGAGGAGGGGGAGGAGGAGGAGGAGGAGGGAGCAGGAGGAGGAGGAGGAGGCCAGCGGCCTCGCGGCGCGGCGGCGTGAGCCGTTTTCTGGCACAGGCCTTGGCCGCCGCACCCTCTCGGGCCTCTCTCCCGGCTGCTCCCGGCCCTGCCGCCATGGTGGCTCGGGCGGTGCTCCCGGTGCTCCTCCTCGTGCTCGCGGGCCACGGCCGTGCCGCCGCGGACGAGGCCTCGACCACGGACGAGGATCGCCGCCTGGAGGCCACCGCTCTGACATCCAGACGTGCGCCTCCTCCTCCGACTTCCCCCCCCCCCGGCCGCCCTCCGCCCTGGTTCTTCGTCGCTTGTCGGGCCTCTGCGAGCCCTATATAGCCGCGCCCCATGGGACCGTCCATAGCGCTGCTCGGGAAGAGGAGGAGCTGGTTCCGGAGAAGAGGTCGGGACTTCAGACGTCCCGACCTCTGCCCCGCTTTTTTTTCCAGTGCGGAGTCCCCGGAATCCGGGGACCCCGTACTACAAACAACAAAAACGGGACATCGCATGTCCGGGTAGTGGGCCCCAGACACGTCAGGGCAGTTGTTTTGCGAGTCTTGCTTTGTCTTTTTTGTGGCCCCTTCTGGTGCAGGCGTTGTTCCCGGTTCCGTCGCTGTTGTTGTTTATTGTTCCAGTTCCAGTTCCAGACCTGGATGAGTTTTTCTCACCGTGTCCTGGGCTGTTGTTTTGTCCCAACCCTTTTGTGTAAGGTTCTTGTTTTGAACAAAATACTGTGGCCTCCGTCTTCTTCCCCTCTCCTCCTCATCGTCGCCACTTAGCTCCTCTTGCATCCGTACCTTTCTTACTGGGGGGCTGCGAACTTGGCAATTGTCGCCACTTTCGTGGGCTACTGGAGGGCACAGCGGATGTGAGGGCAACTCGGATTATTTGAGACCTCGCGGCTCCAGTGGGGGGCTGCGCACAGCGCAATCGTCGCCATTGTCACGGGATCTTGGGAGGCACGGTGGAGGTGAGGACAACGCGGACCGTTTGAGATTTCGCGGCTCTTTCGTGGGCTGCGAACTGCGCAATTGTCGCCCTTTGGGGGAGGTCCTGGAGGCAAAGCGGAGGGATGGCAGCGCAGATAATTTTGACATTTTTGGCTTTCCCTCGGTGTCTGCGAACTGTTCAATGGTCGCCACTTTCGTGGGCTCCTGGGGGGTACGTCGGAGGTGATGGCAGCGCAGATTATCTTGATGCCTCGCCGCTCCCTCGGGGGCTGCGAACTGCGCAATCGTCGCCACGTTGGTGGGCTCCTGGAAGACACATCGGAGTCAAGGGCAGCACAGATCATTTTGCGACCTCGCGGGTCCCTCGGGGGCGCGACTGCGCACTTGTCGCCACGTTCGTGGGCTCCTGGTGGGCACTGTGGAGTCGAGGGCAGCGCATGTCGTTTGAGACTTCGCAGCTCCCTTGCGGAGTCGAGGGCTGCGTACGGCGCAACCGTCATTCCCTATTCTCGTGGGCGCCCGGGAGGCACGGCGGAGTCGAGGGCCTCGCATCTCACTCCGATTTCCTTCGTGGGCTCTTTTGGGAGGCACGGCGGCGGCGAGGACAGCGCAGATGCAGGCGAGGCCCCGCGGCTCCGGTGGGGGCCGCGCTCTATGATGCAGTCGTCGTTTCGCTGGCTTGAAGTCGGGCCCGTCCCTCTACAGGAGGAATATCCAAAAATAGTAAAAAAATTGTACGAGGACGTCTTCTTCTTCTTCTTCTTCGTCTTATTATTATTGTTTTCGTTTGCCCATTTAGGGAGTAGTTTTTGAGTATTCCTATTTTTCGTTCAGAATCCCCCTGTAGGAGGACAGGCCCGACTCAACGCTGGCTTCTGGGAGTCACGGCGCAGGTGAGGGCAGCGCAGATCGTTTTGAGACCTCGCGGCTCGCTCGCAGGAGAGGGCGGAGTTGGAGGAGGAGGCGAGCTGTGCCATGGTCGCCACGTTCGTGAGCTCCCGGGAGGCCACGTGGCGCCTGGCGCGGTCCCGTCGTGTAGGGTTAAGTCGGGCGTGTCCCTCTACAGAAGGAGTATCCCAAAATAGTAAAACAATAGTCTGGGGACGATGTTTTGATTATTTTTTGGCTAGTGTAGCGTATGTTTTGACTATGCTTAAATTTTCGTAGCAAGTCCGCCTGTAGGGAGGGGGACATGCCCGACCTAGATTTAGCACGCGGCGCTTTTGCAACACAGAGCAAAAGGCGCTGGAGCGTCACCCTTTAGTCTTTCGGGCATTACTCGGAGGTTGATCGACCTCCTACCCTGACACGTCGATTAGCGAATTGGCCGTTTCCGGTTCGCGAGAGGGCGTCGCGGCCGTCATTTTTGCGGGTCAAGGTCCGTCGATTTCGGTCCTAGGCCGTTTTCACTGAGGGAAGGTTTACTAAAGGGAGGTTTGTCCACCGTCGAATTACTTACCCAGCATAATCCCCTGTTACGAAAGCACGGCACAGCCACACCAATACTTAAAGGTCGGGTGCGACGAGCAAAGCCACTCCGTCCCGATCCATTTTGCTTGCATTAGAGATTCCCACGCTACACTGTCCCTCCCTACCAAAGCACTACGACCGACACAACGTGGAGGACGGCCATGGAGATCAGCAGCTGTTGCGGCTCATGCGGCCACGCTCGCAGCCAATGTCAACCACAACAACAGCACAGCACACATCGCTACTACATCGACCTTGCTGGCGCTCTCCGCACCGCGGCGCGAGGACCAGCATTTGGGACCATGCGCACAGCCTGACCACACCAAGTACTGCCAGAAGCAAGACTTCCAAGCATTGGCACCACCAGCACAAGCTAGACTCAAAAAGCCAGGCATGCCAAGCGGCAAGCACTTGCGAGTGCGACGGACGCCTCACTGCACAGGTCGTAGAGTCTTCCAGAGCTTCGCTCTCCACGCGTAATCACTCCCATCGGATTGCACGCCCGTCGAAAGGCACATGGTTAGGTAAAGGCGTAGCATACGCAATCTACAACGTATCCTTCGCGAGACCACTCAACGACCTAGCAGACAGCATGATTGGCCAGCCACGCGCAGTCCAACTACCAAGGTCAGCACTACCGTTTACCTTCAGCATACCAGCTTACGGACACGACCAAAGACGACCACGCCTTTTACATAAGGCTCGTCCACGACACGCTCATAGTTTCGCATTGCAACGACCACGACCTCCTGGAGTACTACATGATTGAGATTCCCACCACTACGGTTACCATCCTCACCAGCCACGGCTCTCTGCTCAACTACGAGCCACGCAAGTCAATTTTCACAACACACCTAGCGGACAAACGCGCAGACCAAGCCAAACAACGATTGTGCACACACCTCCTGGAGTACTACATGATTGAGATCGCCACTACTACGGTTACCATCCTCACCAGCCATGGCTCTCTGCTCAACTACGAGCCACGCAAGTCAGTTTTCACAGCACACCTAGCGGACAAACGCGCAGACCAAGCCAAACAAAGATTACCCACATACCGAACACCAGCTGTCTACTGTCCTATACGGGATTAAAGCATCACCATCACACACCTATATATATATATATATATATATATATATATATATATATATGACTACCTCGGCACTCACTTCAAACAGGCATGCGCGACCACCGCACGCACAGCACGCCAGCTGACAAAGCAACGGGCCGCATTTCAAGGATTCAAGGCAACCCATTTTAAAACCCACTGCCTGGGAACAGACATCAAGCTACGACTCGCAGATCCTCACGCCAGTCGCCGCATGTTCTACCAAGCAGAACGCGGAACCTACTCACCGCAACGGCTACCGCGCTGCTCAACGCAGCTCGCAATCACGCGCACCGCAGCGTCACGAATTGACACGTCTCACAACAACAACAGTACTCACACATGGCTGTCCAACGACTATGTCTTATAGTTCAGAGCGTCGACTGCGAAACAGAACTGAGATCACCACGTCGCAAGTACATGGCAAGACTGGTAGCCGATGCCCCGCAGATACTGGAGCGCCTGGTCGACCTTTCACGCGATCAGCTCGCCAGGCAATTGTCGACGCAACGTGAAACTACTTGGGCTCAATAAACCTGGGCCGACTTATTCGCGGCAGATCTACGATGGCTGGCCATTGCCACCACTACCGCGGAGGATGCTTAACGACATTGAAACATAGCAAGGTGGCGTGAGCACGCCCACGGATCACCCGAGCACTACACTAACCAAATCGGCGACGCCGAGTGCAGGGAATGCGTGTACTACAGCGACCACTTTTGCGCGCTGACATTTGGCAGCAGCACATGCGCCATGTCGGCCATGGCAACAGCGACGCACCCCCAGACCAACCGCGACAGCAGGCGATATACGTACGACGCGATTTCGGACAGACGTCGCACACCTTTGGGGACAAGCGAGCCCACAGCATAAACCAAACACCCACAACGCCGCGACATCACCAATATTGTCGGAGGCAACAGCTACCAATCCTACTGCTTACGCACAGACTGTGCAACTTATCACGATGCAGCAACTACTACATGCATACGTCTCAGCACTACCACCCGACAGTATACAAGCACGGCAACACAGTGGCAGCCTTGGTGCAAATGCTAAGAGGACAAAGGACTACGAGCAGACGCAGCTACGATGCCAGCAGCAAAACCAGAAGGGTACAAACGTTACGCACGTACCACGCACACTTACCATCACATGGCACTTGGCCAGCAAGCCGACTTGGCCATACCACCCACAACTATCACCACAGAAGAGCAAACTCACCGACAACGGTTCCGCGGCACCACAACAGAACCGACCTGCAATTGTTGTCGTTTCAACGCGAACGGCATTACCAATGCCAGATAGAGACAAACCCACTTGCCAGCCACAACGCATTCATCATCATAGGCAACCGACCAGATTCACACCTCGACCTCGCAACACCAGACGACACGGACACAGCGTCCAGCGAATCATCCAAGGCCCAAGTGGTTGTCGTTATCCGCAAAGCACTACATTCTTGGACGAGCAGCGCCGCGCGCCGCGCCACCGCCCAGATGCGGGGTGTACCCGACCAATCCAGACAACAGCGCATACGCGCGCACGTGTCACAGGACAAAAAATCACAATTTTGCTTCTAGGTGCCACCAAATACACGAGTACACCTGTCATCCTAATCGCTAGGGAACCCAGGTGGCACCCATCTGCTCGCAACATCTGGCAGGCACCTCAACCCAAGTCAGCTTATCAATGGC